GTAAAATTATCAATGTTTACAATAGCATCGGGAATAGAAGAATTAAGCCACGTTTCTGTTAGGAGAATAATGTGAGGTTTTAAAAGTTGAACAGTACTTATAAATTCATTAAATTTGGACATAAGAGAGTTTAGATTCGTATACATAAGAAGCCAATCCGTAAATTTTAGTGCAGAAGAATTATGAACGAAATTTCATTATCTTTGGACAGCCATTCACATATTTAATCGTAAGGTCATTTTCTCCATTATTTTTACGAGTTTCAAGCTCAGTACGAAGTTCCTTTAAACGAAGTTGCTGCATAGGTGTCTTGTCATCAATAATAGAATAAGTTTCAGTAGATTTGTTCTCCAAAAGTTTATTTTTGTTACGAAGAATTTTTCGAGTGTGGTGTTCAGAACTCATTATCACTTTTATCATGCGGGGATAACGTTTATTTTGATTTGGTTTACCGACTCTATAAAATGTAACAGGACTTTCTTGACATCCAATGACTTCTAGGGCTAAATGTATTTTATTCTTATCATGATCTTTTTTATTTTGTGCGTCTCCTGTAGGTTCGGGGACGCCTCTAACCAAAAAATTTTTGGAACGAGATATGCGGTCAGCGGCTTCATTGACAATGCTGTCAGTAAATTCTGTTGTTGTAATAGAATCGAGTTGATTTAATTTATTGCTGAATTCAGATAGTTTAGTATCAAAATCTTCAATTTTCTTCTTAATGTCCGCTTTAAACTCGATAAGTAGACTCTTTATTTCATTAATATTTGTAATGTTTGAACTGCATGCATTGCATAGTATACATATCCCACGTACTTTTTGCCTAGTAACTCGATCATCGACCGACAGATCCGTACAAGCAATGTGTATTGGTTTCTTACAGCCATCGCACTGGAGCTTTCTATCGGAGGTAGAAGTTAGCTTTGAACAATTAGCGCAAAACGATGTATTAGGCATGATTAACTTTGTGCTAGTTTTGGATATGAATTATAATTATTGGATTGATAAAACAGCAAATTTGTCGTTATCACTTAATTGAATGAATTGTTCAACTTTATATAATAAATATGCTTTCTTTAAATATATTTTTAACTTTGAAAAATTGTATTTTTATAAATTGTGTCACTTGACATTTTTAAATATCCAGGATTATTATAACGAAATGTTCAACTGGCCCACAACAACAAATAATACAAATGAAGAAGATCAGTGATCACACTTTTCGTTTTTTTTTAGTTGCAATAATATTTTTTGTACCTTTTAATTATAAATTACAGTACTATGTGTATTTTGTTTTATTTTAACTCCTTATAAAGTTTGGTTTCAGGTGACGCTGAACAATTTATTTGTGGAACCCTTTAAGTCGAACAAGTTTGAGCTTATATAGACTTATGCTCAATCTTTTTGTAATGTTGGAGTAAAAAAATCAAGAAACTGTGTATAAATAGAATTAGGTCAGTTTTCAACATTTAGAAATCTTTGCGTTATCCTTACACAGTTTTTTCTTGTTTTCGGTTAGTTTTAGTTTTGTGACTTATGGGGTTTCTTAAAAAAGTGATTCAATTTTGAAAAATTTTAAAAATTTTGAAAAAAATGCCGTTTTTTTCAAACTTTTTTTTATTAGTCAAAAGAAAAGGCAAAAAAGTATTTTTGAAGTGTGTATATTTTTAATAATTCCTAGCTAAGCGCTTTCGGCTTTACAAAGCCATCATCGGAGCTATGGTCAATTTTTTTAAGACCACTACAATGGAGAGATCTCATTTCCTTATTTGTTGAAATATTGATTTTTTATTTAATTACTTAGTTGTTAAAATTCTTAAAAAAACATACAAAAAACCGACACTGGACTTCACAGACACATTAAAAAATTATACACACTTCAAAAATACTTTTTTGCCTTTTATTTTGACTTGTTATAAGTGTGTACAAAAAACATATCAGCCTTTTGATTGATTTTTTTTATTGTTACATTGCATGTTTACAATCTACTCTATACACAAAGTAATAAGTAAATAGTCTGTAAGTAAATAACCGTGAATTAGGTAACGTCCAGTGATGGGTTCTCTAAGTATTAATGCGATAGGTCTTCTGGCCATACCCTCTTCAATCTTCTTTCGGCAAGCGATTGGATGAATAAATTAGTTATCAGTTCGTTATTGTGATCAGTGGTGCGATTTTTATATTTTATTGAGTGATTCTTTTTTATGTCATTTAGTAATGGGATGTCCAGATCATTGTGAAGTGTTTGGTTAGATACATACCATAGAGCTTTACTCATTATAAGGAGTATTTTAGACTGAAATGTTTAAAGTATCTTCATATTCATATAGGGTTTACTACAGCCCCATAGATCTATTCCATATGCCAAAATTGGTATAAGTATACCTTTGTACAGCAGCAGTTTATTTTCAAGGGCTAACTGAAACTTTTTTTTTAAATCCAGTTCCTATTTTTTATTTTAAGATCTAGTTGTTTCTGTTAAGTTTCAATGTAAGTTTTTCATCGAGGTGCATTTCTAAGTATTTGACAACTGGTTTTATAGGAATAGTAGTATTATTAATATAAGCTTGTGGACTGATTTGCCAGCATTAACACTGATCTTCCATCGCTTCAGTCAGTTTTGTCATGGATCTAAATGATTTTGTACTTTTTGGGATGCTACGTTGGGGTCGATATCCACTGTCAAGATTCCTGTGTCATCGGCAAATGTACCTAACAAGGTATCATGATACCTCAAGGTATCATGACGTATCATAAGAGGAGAAACACACACCTCCTCATAAATAAAGACGGTAATCTGGCGACGACAGTGAATGAGAAGATGGTTACCTGGAAAATATATATCGAAGAACTTTTCTGGGATGACCGAGGCAACCTTCCGGAAATAAATTGAATTACAGGGCCGTCAATTCTAGAATTCCGCAATTCGGATTCCGCAATTCCATGGGTATACGTGAAGCACTTTTCACCTTACAAGTCCTACTTCAGAGATGCCGCGATGTCAGTTGTGATGTCTATATTTGTTTTATTGACTACGCCAAGGCATTTGACCGTTGTCAGCACCAGAAGATGGTCACCGCCCTACAAAGAGTGAGATTGGATGAGAAGGATATTCGGATCATCATGAATTTATACTGGAACCAGCGTGCTCAAGTCAAGGTCGAAGACCAGCTGACCGACCAAGTGAAGATCATACGGGGAGTAAGGCAAGGATGTGTGCTATCGCCGACTCTTTTCAATATATACTCTGAGGAGATTTTTACTGAACCCCTCATAAACCTAGAGATGGGAATCCGAGTGAACGGTGAATACATCAATAATATCCGCTACGCCGATGACACTGTGTTACTAGCAACCAGCCTAAACGATCTGCAGGCCTTACTAGACCGAGTGCGAACTGTGAGCGTAACATACGAATTGAACCTTAATATTAAGAAAACTAAATTCATGGTTGTCAGCCGTACAAATTTAGATCCCGGGGCACCAATGGCAGGTAGCAAAGATATCCAGAGAGTCGACAGATTCACTTACCTCGGAACTACCCTCAACTCACAATGGGACTACGCTCAAGAGATTAGATCCTGAATTGAAATGGCACGGTCTACATTTATTAAGTTGAGATCCTTGCTGTGCTGCAGTGATCTCAGTTTGGGAACCAAGATGCGGATAGTGAGGTGCTACGTTCTTCCAGTGTACTATATGGAGTTGAAGCCTGGACATTGACGCAAGCCACTGAAAAACGAATCGAAGCCTTCGAGATGTAAATATATAGAAAGATACTAAAAATATCTTATGTGGACCATGTCACCAACGTTGAGGTTCTAGAGCGCATGACAAAACAAATAAGTGCTTAATTTGATTAAACAACGTAATCTTGAGTACCTCGGCCACGTAATGCGGAACGAAGAAAAATATCGAACTCTTCAACTCGTTATGCAGGGTAAAGTATTTGGCAGAAGAGGACCGGGACGCTGTCGTATCTCGTGGTTAAAAAATCTCCGACAATGGTTTGGGATGACCTCAGCGGAGATGTTTCGCAGAGCAGTCAACAAAACCATGATAACCTTGATGATCGCCAACATCCGCACCGGATAAGGCACTGAAGAAGAAGAAGGTATCATTGCTGGTTGGAACGTCTGCTGTAAATATCAGATACAGAAATGGGCCCAACGCTACCCTGAGATACGCCAGATTGTATGATACGGTAATTTGAGTAGCTGTCTTCAATTTTGACTTAGAAGTAACGGTCAGTAAGATATGATTTTAGTATAAAGTATAGTTGATCTATTAGGTGTAAATTCAGTTTGTAGAGGATACCTTTATGCCATACTCTATCGAATTCATGTTGTATATTTAAGCTCTCAAACACGACAGCGCAAAACTTTTTCTCTTCGAAAGTTGTTTTAATTATATTTACTGTTCTGTGGTACTGTTGGATGGTTGAGTATCCACGTCTAAATCCAACTTGGTGTTATGGTATAATTTCGTGTATAGGAATAACTTGCTCGATTTGATAATACTTTCGACATTTTTGGTAGTAGGCTTATAAGGCGTTACGAATTTACTTGCGTTGCGGGCTTACCAGGTTTCGGAATCATAAAACTTTAGCTTTCCATTGTACTGGAAAGTACAATGGAAGCCGTAGTATGCTGTCGTATATTGTTGTTAATAACAACACTGCTTTTTCGGTAGCTTCTGAAGTAATTCTCCTGTTATCAAATTATAGCCAGGAGCTTTCTTAGGATTTAGCATTTTTATTTGTTGCCAAACCTCCGTCGGAGTAAATATTATCAGAGGAAAAAATAGTTGACATGGAGTTTTAAGGTACATTCTTATATCATCACCTTCATCGTTATTAGTATCTGTTGCTGCGAATACAGTTGCAAGATGCTCTGCGAAACTGTTGTTTTCTCTGCATTGCCCCAACGTTGTTAGTATGCCCCAAATCCAAACAAGTTGTTAGATATTAAAATTTTTATTTTTAACGAAATTATGTCATAATGATATCGAATAAAAACATTTATGTAACACTGTGCCCCCTCTTCCCCTATCTGTCTATGGTAATTTGATTTGATTTTATACTTTTACTTTCAGCTAGTTCATCTGGCAGAGAAGATTATTGGGTATCTACAAAAACGTCAAATAGCTAAAGAAAAAGCCAATGAAAGACCCGAAATGTCATCTAATCAAGATTTAGAGGATAAAACCCAAGAACCGATTGATTTGGAGCAATCTGAACAAAAACAACTTCAGGAGGGAGACAAACTAGAAGAATATGAATTAGATGAATAAAATAATAGTTTTAATATTTAAATTTGCATTATTTTACACTAAAAATATTTCTGTGACACAATACTTAATAATGCGTAATATAATAAATGTTTTTTTTTGTTGATATTTTGGATGAAAAACCAACTAATAAATAAGCTTTCGTTTTATGAAAAAAAGTTATACTTAATAAAAAGTTCTAAAACCTAGACTACAATCACCAAATATTAGACTTTTTTAATCTATAGCTGCGCGGCTTTTAAAAATATTATTCAAAGTTTATGTAAGAGTTGACAATATCCACAATTTATATTTTTTGACATACCGCAGACAAAAATTAATGTAAAGACATATAATTAATGTGTAAATGGTACATTTATTAGCCACGCTAATTTGCAACATATTTTTATAAAAGAAACTTATATATTACTACTATCTTTTTAATTATATCATATTAGTGTGTAATATTTAATAATTTTTATTAGAACTCTGGATTATAATGAAATATAATTCATCCAATTTGCATACCGATGCACGTCATTATCTACGTTAGAGATCGAAGTTGACATAGTTGCCAAAGTATAAAAAAATCCTGACTCCATTTTAAATCAAATAGATCACATAATTATTGCAAATTACCATCTCTTTACAACGACTATTTAAATTCTTACGTGACAGTTTTTGTTTTAAAACACACTAATTTTGTTTTAAAAAGAACAGATTTTATTAGATAGGTAAAAATTTAAAACAAGAGCTTTTCACTTTAAAATTCAAAATAATAAGGTACAAAAAGTGTCAACACCGCGACTGTCAAATAAGTGTTACCAATTTATGCCAAAATTTCATCTTCGTTCGATTACAGTTACCGTGTGTTCCGAACAACGGAACGACGGTCACTACAGCAGTGACAGTGCAGTGAATAGTGAACAGTGTAGTAGTGTCTGGGGGCTCGGGAGACTGAGACCTCGAAAGCCCCGAGGAAGGCATCAGAGAGGATGCCGAAAGCTTGGCAAAATCGATATCGATGAGGTTCAACCCGAAAGACTGGTGAGTTTGATATTAATTTTAATAATAATATTAATCTTAGCTCTAGGTTTCATATATATATTTATATATATATATATATATATATATATATATATTATATATATATATATATATATATATATATGTATAATAATATAATTTATTTTAAATTTGTTTTGTTGAGGTTAGGATAGGATGAGATGACCTACCGAAGTCCGTAGGACGTCGGTAGGTCATTTCACACCCCAGGAAGGAAACTCGTATATCCTAATAATATACACCACATCCTAATCTCAAAAAAATGGAGAACAATTTTACATAATGTAAGGTCTTACAGGGGAGCCAATACTGATTCAGTTCACATTTTGGTGATAAAAGACATGAAATTGAAGATACTTAAAGATAAAAACGACAGAAAGAAAAGAAAGAGGTGAAATCGGTCGAAACTAAATACAGATAATGCAAACAGAAAATTCTGCATTAAATTGGAAGAAAAACTACTAGTCCTAAAACCATCGAACATAGATAAAACATGGGGAGACATCAAAAATAGTATCTTAACAACAGCATAGGAGACGATAGGACTAATGGAAGACAATAAAAGAATGGATTGGTACGATGAAGAATGCGGGCAAGCTAGTAAAGACAAGAACAAAGCAAGACACAGGTGGGTGGCCACAGGGAAACAAGAAGATCGTCTTCACTCTAAAGAGAAGAAGAAAGAGTCACATAAATGCTGCAAAACAAAAAAAAAAATAGATCGAAGTATTACTGCAGGAACTCGAAGCCAATAGTAATAACAATGCAAGACTATACAAATACATAAAATCACAGAGAAAAAAAGGAATACCAGCAAATATTGGAAAAATAGAATGGCAAACACACTATAGAGAACTGTTTAAAAAGAAAGACGATGCTGAAAACGCAGAAAATGAAGAACAAACAGAAAATAGGAATGTATTGGCGACCACAAACAGATTAAAGACAAGGAAAGCAGCAGGACCAGACGACATTATAAATGAGTTCTTCAAGAAAGGGGGAAAGGAACTAGTCCACAGAATCCACATCCTAATAGAACGAATATGGGAAGAAGAACGCATGCCGAACGACTGGAATTGTGGTCTGATAACACCAATCCCTAAAAAGACGAAATTCACTAACTACAGGGGAATCACGTTATTAAATACAATGTACAAAATATTAACTAATTTGATCAGATAAAGAATAGAAAAAAAAACTAGAACAAAAATAGGTGAATACCAACATGGATTCAGAGAAGGTAAGTCAACAATAGATGCAATACACATTGTAACGCAAATCGTCGAAAAAAGTTACGAGCAGGGAATAGATCTACATATACTGTTTATTGACTACAAGCAAGCTTTTGACAGTGTAATAAGGAAGGAACTAATTAAGGATATGAATAAATTAGGCATCCAAGAAAAACTAATAGCTCTCACGAAAATGACGATGAAGGAATCCAAGGCACGAATCTTAACAAGGGAAGGCCCGTCAGATGAAGTACCAATAGCGGTAGCTGTCAGACAGGGAGACTCCCTGTCAACAACATTATTTAACATTGCCATAGAGGGGGCAGTAAGAGCAGCCAAAATTATGGGAAATATTATCGAATCTTTCGCTCAACTGATAGCCCATGCAGACGATATTGCACTGGTTACTAGAGATTTAAAAACCATGCAGAACATAATATTAATACTAGATAAAGAAGCAAACACGAGAGTACTAGTAATAAAGCAAAGCAAAACGAAATACCACAAGTGTTCAAGAGAATACGAACATAGAGAAAGAAATTAAGCTTGATGCATATACATTTGAAAGAGTACACCGTTTCAAATACCTGGGAGTGATGGTAAATAACAAAAATGATAAAACGGATGAAATAAATGAACGCATCCTACTGGGTAATAAAACCTACTGGAACTACCAAAAATTCCTGAAAGAAAAACACATTAGTAAGAAAACCAAATTAAAAATTTACAAGACTGCAATCAGGCCAGTGATCACCTATGGTGCAGAGACGATGTGCCTAACACAAAAAGATGAAATAAGATTGAAAATTTTAAAGAAAAAGATAATTCAACGAACAATGGTACCGGTGAGGATAAGTGTAGGCGAATTTAGAAGATTAACCATTGAAGAAATTAAATAAGTCATCGGGGATGAAGACATAATCAAGTTCGTGAAGACGAAAAGGCTCAGGTGGCTGGGACACACAGAAAGAGCTAACCCAGACTCTATGCTAAAGCGAATAACTGGATGGACACCAACAACAAAGAGACCAAAGGGGAGACCCAAAATATACAGTGTATAAATGAATGAACACAAAATATAAAAAAAGAATGGATTAACAACATAAGCAGGATGGAGGAGAACAGTGTCATCAGAATAGCCAGAGATAAGTGGAATGACAAGGTATTAATCCGCCAATGAACAAGCAGAATTGCTTATAAAGAGGAATAAGAATTTCAGTTCTTTAAAATTAAAGAAAACTTATTTTTTTCTTTAAAAATTTTGTTTAATGATTTTAGTAATTTCCAAAATTTGTTAAATAAAATACAAAATTTATTGATCATTTTTATTTTTCTTTAGCATCTAGTATTTATGTTTAATTACTGCATTTAGATTATCATTATCTTCTAAAATAGTATGCATGTAAGTCGATGAGCATAGTAATAAGTGTTTATGTATGTATATTACGTAAAAAGAAGTATTCCCTTCAAAAGTATAGAGAATACTTGTGATACTATGCATTTTTATAGATTTGAAAAATTTTTAATTTTCAAAGTCGTTTTTTATTTAAACAAATGGAAATTTCGCAGATTTTTTTTGGAAATAACTTAAAACAATGTATATTTTCAAGATTTACCAAAATTTTTCCCGAAATCGCGTGGCTAATAAATGCACCGGAACCATTGTATTCTAGGTTTTAGATCGTTCAATACCCTTTTGTGTACCCTTTTCAAGTAAAATAGATTTAAGGTAAGATATTAACCAAATTAATATAGCCCAGGCTGTGGAGGAAAAAATACTCAGGAAAAAACTCAGGAGCAATCCTAAAGTAAGTATTGTAATGGGTAATTTGTGTATAAATTATGGAAGCACTCTAAAAGACCTTCAATTTGAGCCTGTATACGTTCAATTTAATTTATTTGTTATTGCAAAAATGACGTCTGAAGGTCAAAATTAAAAAATATAATATTTATTGCAAAATTGCTTTTTTATTTATTTCAAATGTATGCCATTCAAGCCTATAAAATTACGAATCGAATGATCCATAGTAGTCCTAGACCAATTAATTTGTTGAAAGAAAATGTAAAAAAGTATTTTTGAAGTGTGTATATATACACACTTCAAAAATACTTTTTTACATTTTCTTTCGACTTGTCATAAGTGTGTACAAAAAAATATCAGTCTTTTGATTGATTAATTAATTTGTTGTTTATCTCACGACCTTGAACTTTGAATGCTCATAGGATTGTCAGAAACAATGGTAGAGGGCTAATTCTTATTTCATTCTCTTCCTAAGAGCTCTTGTTAACGACAACTGTCAAAGGATCGATTTTGAAACCATTCCGTTGGCCGTTGCTCAGTGTCTTTCAGGTTCGTATGAATGTTTGTTCACGCAACGGTAACCAATCCGTTGATTAACTTTTCACCGTCTACGTATCCAGTCCCCCTCGGCAAAATAACTAGACGTTTCACGTAGGTAGCTCAAGGTCAAATTAAACTTAATGTCATTTGTAGTACCGATACTAATCTTCAGATGTCGCTTTACTCTGTCTCAACTTTTACTCTGCAGTTTAGGTTTAGAACACAACTAAGAAAAGAATTATAGTTGTCAATCGCCAATTGTCATGTTAGCGTCTATATTTTGATTTTGTTAGTTTGTAAATTACAAAACAAATCACCTACCTCAGTGATCTATGTTTTAAATGTTCCTGGCGGTGTTCAAATAGTATTTTGCAGATTAATAATAA